CCATTTTATCTTCCAAGACCTTGTTAAACCACTGCAATGCGATTTTCTTTTCCAAGTCGAGGTCTTCAGCAGTTACTGAATAACCAAGCTGGGGAGGTGGAGGCTACCAGAGATAAAGGAGAAGTCAGGTCAAGCCAAAGAAACTAGAAGTAACAAGTACTAAAGACTTTCTAAGTAAAAGGTGTCAGATTTTTAAAAGTTCAGGGGTTAAGACTGAAGAGATCAAAGCAGACAGGAGAGATGGATGAGGCCATACCAATGTCAGCTGGTCTCCTCGCCTGGAAGGCAGCAGTTGAACCTTCCGTTTCCGCCGCCCAGAGCTCCTAGGTGTTGATGGGGAATGCCACACGTTTTGTTGCTTCTGTGTGGTTGTATCTGCAACTAAGGAGTACAAGAGAAGGAAGGAAACAAAAGAAAAACAAAATGTGTATTCTTCCTGACAGAAGAAGTGGGTTTTCCTGCGCACTTAGTTTTTAATGGAATTCCCACTGGGTACTTTCTAAGAAGATGCAGTTCCTACCTTCCATACTTTGGGCTTATATGGTATTTCCACGGTTACTTCTATACTCAAGAGGATGCACACATACAACCGCTTAGTGGCCAGTAATTACCTGGATCCCATACAGAGATCTCAACCACACTTCTCTCCCACAGTTACTGTATAATAGACTATATTTTTTTAAAAAAAACTTGTTGTGTGCTGTCAAATCAGATCCGACAGGCACAGGAGATTGCCACTACTTCTCCAGCGAAGCATCTGGTGAATTCAAACCGTGTGCCTATGGGATTGCAGCGCAGCTTCTTGCCACTAAGCCACCAGAGCTCCCTTTAGACAGTATTTTTCTGTGTTACCTTTCTCTCATTAGGCTATAAACTTCTGAAGGACAGAAACTTGCATTCTTGTATCCATCACACCCAGATCAGTGCAATGCTCATCAAGTATCTTGGAAAGCCTAATGCTCTGTAAATTGTTACCACTCTCAAATGCAAACCACTGTGGCTCATTCGTCAACTTACCCTTTTCTCCCTGGGATTCTTTTTCTGTTACCAGTGGAGTTGAAGACCTAGAAAGATGATTAAGCTCTTCTTCTCTGTAAGGACAAAAGGCAGAATTATGCTTAAAAAGACTTTCTGATTCTTGATTTTCTTAAAGACCAACTGCCCAAAATCTAGAACATGATGAATTCGGAGCTCAGTATGTCGGGTTAAAAAGAGAAAAATTAGTTTAAAACACACACAAAGGAAAATTCATACATAGAAAAGAGGTGGTGGTTCCCAGAAACTATGGGGATAAAACCAATTATGTATTTAAACAACCACAAATTAGTCTTTACAATTATTTGTGCCAAGATCTGCCAAGATCTTAGGTGTTCTAGATATAGATCTGACCCTTAAGCAAGTGGAGTTTTAGCAGGGTCTGGCTGGAGTCAAGGACACACAGGCTCCTGCCTACTGACACTGGTGGTTCACTCCACTGTGTGGCCTCTATGCTGGAGCATGAGGAATGGTGCTAGAAATCTCTGCAGTCAGTAAGAACAGTGTAAGATGAGAGCAGTCAGGTGGGTATTTCATGCTCCTCTTAGATCTTAATGTCTCTAATTCTCCAAGACAGAAAAGCAAAAAACTCTAAGAGACCAATAAATGTGCCCCTTTCTTGATCCTTTCACCAAATAGGTGGGGAAGAATTTTAATTACCTCATTTTCTTTGCTGGCCTCTCTGGTGTCTGGGAGCGGGATGAGGCTGGACTAGAGAAAGGTGATGAACTGGGCCCACTTCTCTTCCACAGCTGCAAGTCAAACAAAAAGTCCTGTGACTCAGTGTAGTTGAAAATTGAGCAGGCACCTGAGCAATGTAACACTATGGGTCTCCACTACTGCACACAGATTATGTTTCTAAGTTACTGAAAATGTCTCTGAAGACAAACAACTGAAGAGAACGTCAACTGCTTGGGGCAGCGGTGCAAATCTACAAAGTATCAGAAAGCTAATAAATACAGAGGAAATGATGTCATTTATACACATAATAAAAGCAAAAAGCTTCAATATGGTAAAGGTAGAGTGACAGATAATACATGGAAGTTTATGCTGTACCTTCTATAGAAACAACAAAAGTAAATTAAATATTCTAGTGAGGATAAGCCAGTGAACTAATTAGTCCTACATTTTATTCAACTTTCAGGCTTTAATTTACTAATTTTTCAAATTCTATGCTGTGGTGATATTTGTGACATCTGCACCATTTATGGTATTTATTATTATAAGGTTAACTGTCCATTTGTCTCTTCTCCAGGCTTAGTCCAATGATGCAGAAATGGTCAATTTAATCTCTTAATGCATCCTTAAACAGGCTCTGCAGAGCAAGCATTCTGCAAATATTTTCCTAAGACTTTAATTATCATACACTAAATCCTTAAGACACATTTTTTTTCATATTGAAAATGACAAGTTTCTAGCTTGTAATTTCTCACCCAGTAATGGTCAGTTGCATCATCTAAGTTCAAACAGGTCATCTTAACGCTCAAGATGCGTACAAAGGAGGGAAAGAAGGGCCTGAAGTCAAAGACCAATGGCAGAAGAGCAAGATGGTCAAGTAAGAAACTCAAGGTCTGGGATGAGTTTGAAAAGAACACTCGTGCAAGTAATTCTGTAAGGTTATGCTAAAGTTAAGAACAAGAAAGAAGAGCTACTCAGGAAGACCAGGGCAAGCAATGGTTTTGAAAATGAGGTTGTTACAGGGATATTAAAGAGCAGAACAGAAACATCTACCACAGTGATCCCAGAATGTCTAAGTCCTGTAAGTGGTGCTTTCTTTCAATCATTTCCAATTCCCAACGTCAGCTCACTGGTTCTCAACCATGGCTGTTCAAGCCAGTGGATCAGCTGGAAACACAATCTCCTGGGATTTCATACCCTTGCTTTCAAAGGACCAAAGGGAATTCTTGACATTTAGCCAAGCTTGAGGACAACTTAAAATAATCAGGAGGAAATTTTTTATCTCTTTCATACACTCCACATGTATCTACATTATAGATCATGAGTGAGAAAAATTATTAAAACTAAAGATGAGTTGCTACCTAATTTAGGGTGGAAAAAACCCTTTATGTCAGAAATAAGAAGAAAAACAACTGTTAGTATAAATTATGAGTCAGACAAACAAGCAGGAAGGTCTGAAGGCCAGTGTTTTGGTGTGGTTATGTGAAATGACAAGTTTTCTAGCCATATGGAAATATCAATGCCAGTTATGTATGTGGGATACTCTAAGAGTTACCTTACTGGGCTAATGGACTAATATGGCTACTACCTGCCCACCTGCCCTCCACAAACTGTTCCCACTGACTCTTCTCCAGCCACACATAAGAAGCCTGCTTATTTCACATTTAAATCTTTAATTCATCTAGAGTATGTTTCTAATATATGAAAAGCCCTAAAAAATGACAACTAACCAGTATAGCTCTTCAGAGACAGGGGCAACCAGGTAAGACCCAATAGTTATGGGAAAATAAATGGTATCTGCCAGAGGAAATCGATTTCTTATGCACCTACCTTTTTTTTTAAAAAAAAAATTTTATTATATTGTGATTTTAACTAACATTTACAGAAATGTTAGATTTTCATTAATTCACCGTTGCACAATTTCCTCCCTCGCCCCTCCCCTCTTTGCAATGTACCTCTTATTCTGGACCGTATTATATATAATCCCTAATAATACATTCCTTTTAAATAGTTCTCTTCCCCGTCTGTTCTCCCAACCCCATGTCCTGCTTCAAAAGAGTAGTGCTCCACAGTATTTGTCCTTTTGAGACTGAGACATTTCGCTCAGCATGATGTCCTCCAGGGTCACTCATGTTGTGTAAGGTTTTACAAGTTCATTTCAGTGCTGCACAGTATTCCATTATGTGAACATACTTTTTCTGTTTTTAGATGGGCACTTCTATTGCTTCCATCTCTTTATTAATGTGAATAATGCAGCAACAAACATAGGTGTGCACACATCTGTTTGGATGGCAGTTCTGGTTTTTTAGGCTCTAGTCCCAGCAGGGCAACTGCTGGGTCAAATGATATTTCTATTTCCAACTTTTTTTCTTTTTTAATTTTTTATTATTTTTGTGTGTGTACCGTCAAATCAGATCTGACCGGCACAGGAGGAGATTGTCCCTTCTCCAGTGGAGCATCCGGTGGATTCAAAATGCGCACCTCTGGGATTGCAGTGCAGCTTCTTGCCACTAGGCCACCAGAGCTTTATTTCCAACTTTGTGAAAAAGCACCAGACTGCCTTCCATAATGGCTGTGCCACTTTACACTCCCACTGGCAGTGAAATGTCGTTGTTAAATGCTGTAAAGTTGTGGACAACCCATAGCGACCCTATGAACGAAAGTCTTGAACAAAACCTTTCATCTTTCCTCCAAGTTCACAGAGGTTCTGGAGGCAAGCTTTTGTTTTTGGAAGTGGATGCCACTCCTCAGCAGTAAATAAGGGTTCCAATTTCTCCACAACCTCGCCCTCATGTGTTGTTTGCTGCTCTGTTGAACTTTGCTATTTTTTCTGGGCACCTACCTTTTATTAATAAAAATACCATTTATCAGATCATTCATGAGCAACCGTCTCCTGATTTACAGCCTCTGACAACCAGAAGGAGGGTCAGTTCTGACTAGATAGCAATGTGTGAGTGGAACTTACCATTCGAGCGTCTGGACCTTTTCTTAAGAGACTATCCCCACATCTGGCCGAGTTCTTAAAAACATCTGCTAAGTAACTCATTTTGGTTTATCCAATCAACTCTGAATTAAGAGTTACTCCTCCCACCTCACAAGGACCACCATACCTGAGAGACACCGCGAGAAGAGCTATAGGAACTGGTGATAGCATTACGGCTTGAACATGGGATGCCTCGCACGTAGGTGCTCGTCAAGGAGCTCACAGAGGAGGTGCGGGACCTCTTATTCAAGTGGTCGTCTGCACTCTGGGCGTTGTAGCCTCTCTTCAGAGACCCAGGTCTAATAAGAGGAGAAGACGTTAGATGAGCTATTCAAGGCAATATTCTTTTACAGCTTCATCCACTCTGGGTATGGCACTTTAAGAAAATTATGCTCTTAACTTTAAGCCAACAATTTCATCAAATATGTCTGGCAAAGATAGTCAGGGAGAGGTAAATATTTAAAGATTAAATAATTAATGCCACTTTTAAGAAATTCACACCAATCTATAACGACAGAAAATGGACAGAAGGTGGAAAAGATAGGACTGGAGGGTTGACTAAGGGGCACAGGACACTCTGAAAGGTGATGGATGTAACTGATGACTATGATGTGCTTTCATAAGGGTTTACATGTGAAAATATATCAAACTTAAAATATATACAATTTTATATATGTCAATTAAACTTCAATAAGGCTAATGTGTAAAAATTTAGATTCTCACAGTTAAGAGGAAACAAATACTTTTCTTTAAATTATACTACCTTATTTACAAAATTTGAATACATTGTTTTCCAGACCCAAATACTTTTGTTTTGTTTCCAAGTGAAACAGAAACAGCCCACAGACCCCTCCCTGAGGAGCAGTCATCCAACCTCCCCATTTCCTAGAGACATTATTTTCAACTATGGCCCAGTTTTTTTTTGACTGGACCAAAATGTCATTTCTTCTAACTTTCCCTCTTGGATCTTCCTTGGAGCCTAACCAAACAAGCTGTTCATGTGAAAGTCAGTCAGTCTTAGGGGCACATTATCCATCTATTTTCTCATTTTCTTTAAAGTTTTTCCTCCCTTGGGCTTAGTACTTCTATAGCTTAAAAAACCCCTCATCATGACCACCACCATGTGTCTGGCTATCCCAGACCCTTTAATATCTTTACTTGGAATGCATTTCCATCTTTGTTTGTCCTCTCTTGCAGTGCAGTACACAGAACCAAACGACACACTGTGAACAGCTTGAACAGAACTAAATAGAGCAGGGCTATTCACCACTCGGGGGGCTCTGGTGGCCAAGTGTAAGAAGCAATCCCAAAGGCACATGGTTCGAATACACTAGGTGCTCCAAGGGAGAAGGATGGGTAAGTCTACTCCCTTGAGACTTCCTGCCCTTGAAAAGCTGCTGGAGGGTCAGCTACGAGCTGGCTCCAACTCAACAGCACACAACCACCACAACCTAGCACTTACCAGCCTCACTCTAGGCTGTTGACTCACGAGAGGAGGAGCCTGTCAGCCTTTCTAACAGTCCTATATTGCCAACCCAAATTAAAATTATGTAAGGTGCTCTAAGGTTTTAAAGCATAGTTCTGATTCATTTCTTCTCATTCAACTCCTCCTCCTCAAATATATTTTTAAACTCAAATTACAAATAAAATTTAGCATACTTAAGTCAGTTTCCAGAACTTCTTATTTACCTAAAATTTATAATGCTGAGTATTACCCATTGCACAGCACTTGTGATCTTTATTCATAAAGTTGGCCAGCAGCCTTAGCAGATTTCATCCATATTAATGTAAAAAAAAGTAAATGAAAGAGAGTTAATTGTGGTAAGCCTGGAAGCAGGAGCGGCATCCACTTCCGAAACGGCTTGCCTCTGGAAACTCTATGTACGAACAGTGCTCAGGCTGTTTGTTCATAGGGTCGCTGTGAGTCGTCTACGACTCGACGGCACCAAACACCACCACCACCACCACTCAAAACATTCCTTCTTGACTTCAAAACACTGGACTTGAACTAATAAAGCAATATAAAAGCAATGAGGAAAAGGAACAGGGCAACATTTTTATCCATTCATTCCAACCAGATGAACTCTAACCTACTTTGGCACAAAAGCTGCAGGGACTCCATTGGCCACCAGGGGCTCAAATGCTGAATGTCCACTTCCACTGCTATCATGGCGCCTGCGACAAATAAAAAAACTCTCAATGAAATAAAGTAATTTGTTATTCCTAAAGCACATTCTCACATTCCTAGTACTAAAGAGTATGTATTTCAAACTAGACAAGGATATTCCAAATCTGCATGATTCTGAAAGGTTTATGGGGAAAATAAACTTAATGACCCGCCACCATAAAATAAAAAGGAAAAGGGAGGGAGCCAGACACAAATTCTTAGAATCTTCCGAATAGCTGTTTCCACTTCACCTCCTGTCGCATTCCTGCTTAGCTGCAGTAGCTCGGGCTGTCCTACCACCACCAGCTCTAAGTGTTACTTGTCTCTGGAAGCGTGGCATGTACCACCAAGTCAGAACTGACTCACAGCTCAATCTCCAGCGGGTTTTCAGAGGCTGTAACTCACACACGAGGAGACTCTCCATTTTTCTCCTGCGGAGCAGCTGGTGGATTTAAACTACCTGCTGCTAGGTTGGCAGCGCAACTCCTTATCCACTAAGCGCCCCAATCCTTCTTTTTTTTTTCTTTTCTATATTTTATTAATTTTCATAAACATTTACAGAGATTTTGGGTTTCCATTCATTCATTGTTGCACTATTCTCTCTACCCTCCTCCCAGTTTGTTCTTGTCCAAATGCCACAGTGCTTGTCAAAGCCAGTTCTGATTAATCTTCTTTGTCAATGTATCCTTTGCCATTCCCTATCACTCCTCCCTGAGAGAGACTTCACCCTGAGTCATAAGGAAAAGGGGATGGCGTATTCTCTCAGCTACTTCCTGCTGAAAAGGGACGCTGTGGGTTTCAGGGTGAAGATCTTCTCTCACTACTCTAAAGGGCCCCTTTGGCAGTAGGAAACACATAGACTATTATGGACATTGATTTTGGAATTTAGATGCACTCTTATTGATTGTGTTTGGCCGTACATGTTCATATCCTTGAAGATGTATCATGGGGGTGTTGCAACCTAGAAGACACAAATTTGACTAACAAGATATAAGTACATGAGTCCAAAACCTATGGAAAAGTAAAAGAAAAGATTCTTTCATTGTTTTACAAACCCTCCCCCAGGTCCCCTCCACCATGTAGCCCTCGCTCTAGTCTCCTGTGATGACAGAAATACCCAGTTATATATCTCTTTTAAACAGTTCTCTCCCTCCTCTGTTTCAGTGCAGTATACATTATTGAACCCATCTTACTCAGTCTCTCCCCAACCCCAAGGACAGTCCCATTCTACAACAGTGGCATCATGTAATATGTGTCCTTTTGTGACGCGCCCCAATCCTTCTACAGGACATGGATCAAGTTTCCTCTGGGAAGAGTTCTCCTACGTAAGCAGCTCTGCTGGGTATGGAGCGGCACTGCCAACTCAAAGGCAGGTGGCTGGAATCCACCAGCTGTTTCGTGGAAGAAAGATGAAGAACTTCCTCTTCTTTGATTTACAATCTCAAAACTTGCTGGTGTCTGCTGTGAGCTGGTTCTGACTTGAAAGCAAGGAGTTTGAGTTTTGAATGCTGTTATATATACACCATCAAAGCTGGCCAACTTTCAAACTCTCAGAGAGGAACAATCTGGTCTAGGCAAATGAGGTAGGTAATGGTTGCATTTTTCAGGCACAGAGTCCAATATCTCCTCAAAGAGCCCTTCTTTGACCCCCTTATACAACGAAGGCCCCTTCTCCTTCCTCTCTTGTATTCTCTAGAACACTAAGCAATAATTTATTTTGTTGTCTTCTTGGTCTGTTTTCCTCAAGGAAGTCGCATGAGGCAGAAAGCCTTGTTTTCCTCACTGCTCTATCCACAGCACCTTAATCAAGCCCTTGTTATCTAAGACCCAGCATTAGCACCTTTGTGATCAGGCTCTTTCACCAAAGTCAAAGGCAGCTCACAAAGTAAAAGATTCTGCTCATTATTTCTGGAAATGATCTCTATTTAACAAATTCCCAGGAATACACAAAACAGTGTTTTGTACTCTGCATGGCCTTATTACCTTCTTTTATTTTCCTGGCCATCAGAGACCAGTGGGTCTTCCTCCTCCACTGTTCTTTTCTTCCTCTCCTTGAGGGCACGCAGGACAGTCTCCCTCGCACATGGGTCTGGAGTATTAGCTGATGGTGAGGACAGTGACGAGCCAACTATCTGCTCCGGTCTGCAACAAAAGACAAGGCTCTGGCATCACGATACTACCACACATTCCACAACAGCACAGACATTCAGTCACTGGAAACCAGAATCTAGGCCAGCAAGCAGAAAGAAAATTCAGTCACAGAAAGGGACCTTAACAAATTTAAGCAAGTGTCAAGGGCAAAACAAGAAAAGTAGATTCAGTGACTAGAATTGAGTTTTCTCTTGTCCAAATAGTTGTTCACTCTTTTGTTTCATTCAAGGTTGTCAGAGAAGAGGGGGGGAAAAAACCAAACCAAAAAAAACAAAACAAAATGGTAAAGCAGACACAAAAGTTAACCTATTCTTTCAAGAGTAGTACTCACACTGCCGAGCGAACCAACTTGCTGTGAGGTGGGGCGATCCTTACGGTCACTGGGCTGCACACCATCTTGGAATTGCGAGGAGACAGCACAGCCTTCTTGTGATAACCATTCCAGCACACTGTGGGGAGGGACCCCAGGAAAGAATACTGGGCCTGCTGGATTGGATAGCGTCTCCGAGGTGTTATTACAAACCGATTTGGTGAAGTCCCACAATCCCTGCAAGAAACAACAAAACCACATAGGCACACGGGGTGTAAACGAAAGCTAGAGAATTAAAATGGTTCAACGACCAAGTGGGCTAAAGCACATCTTCCCGAGAGAGTCAACCTCTAACAGAGAACACAGTGTTTTCATGGCAACTTTCACCATTTCCATCCAAGTGCAGAAGGTGGCAGCTGCCAAACAGCTGTTTTAACAGTGGACAATTTCTGTGGGGGATTGGAAACGTGGCCCATTCAATGAATAAAAGGGTGCTGGGTGTGTGGGGAGGAACTTCTCAAGAACCCCTGAATATTTTTGCTGAAAATTTCGTTAACATACATCCACACCTTCTTTTCTAAATTTCTTGTTTCTCACCTACCTATCAACACAAACATTTCTTTTTAAGTAAAACAAGTGGAAGATTTATTAAGGCAGTAAGACAGAGGCATAGCTAATGAACGGAGGGCCACCGGAGTGAAAAAAGAAAAGAGGGGTACAGGGCCCCCAGAAAGTCAGGGATTAACTCAAATCTTGCAACAGCTGTCAGCAGAAAAGGAGAAAGAAGAAAGAGCAACATAAACATTTTTTTTTTAATTTTTGTTATTGTATTATTTTTACGTGTACCATAAAATCAGATCTGACTGGTACAGGAGGAGATTGCCTCCTCCTTCTCCAGCAGAGCATCTGGTGGATTTGAACCGCGTACCTCTGGGATCTGGGATAACCATTCTTCTCAGAGTCAGCCATAGTTTGTTATGATCTACACAGTCAAATGCCTTTGCATAGTCAATGAAACACAGATAGACATTCCTCTAGTATTCCCTGCTTTCAGCCAAGATCCATCTAACATCAGCTACAATATCTCTAG